TTCGGCCACTGAAAGGGGTTTGAAACTAATGGTTCCAAGTTTTGATGTGTCCTATCCTATGTAATAAAATGCTAATATGCAAATTGTCCCTCAGGAATTCGACCAGCCAGGAGTCTAACCACTCGTTATGATGGGCAGTGACCACCTGGGGGCAGCGCAGAATGAAGAAAGGCCCTGGCCGGCAGCCAGCAACCAGGGAAAGGAAGGCACCAATGGGCCCTGATCACTGGCCAGGCCTAGGGACCCTACCCATGCCCTAATTTTGTGCAGTGGGCCTCTAGTGTATTATAACTCTATCCAATTTATTCCCCCACTTATAACTGCTCAGTGCTTCCTTGCAATATATCAGGTGCACTGCAGACTCCTCGTCATGGCATTAATAATCTCACAATCTCTTTCTCCAGACTAGGTTGGGATTTACCTCCTTAGTCCAATTAATTGATGCTTTCTTCAAGCCAACATTGAACTACCTGCCATTGCCTGCAAGTTCCATTAGCCCGTTTGCATCTGCTTTTCCCATTGGGAATGTCCCGCATCCTTCCGGTCAATGCCCACTGGCCATGGCTTGGGATGAATTTAGCTTAATTAATGGTGATTAATAAATGGGTGTTTCAGGTGTCTTCCTGAAGCCATATAACAATTGAATATTTACTGGTAACCTTTTCCCTAAGATGATACTGCTATTTTAAAAGTTTTTGAAGGTCAAGAATGAAGTGGAAAATATTTTTCTTAAAGTATGAGAAAATTCACTTGTTATACTTAGTTATGTTTTGGTATGGAATATTCGGTCAAGCAATGCACCTATACTAAGGGCATAATTATGCAACTGTACTAACTAAACCTTGATTATTATTAATTTTTAGAGAGAGTAGGAGGGAGGAAGAGAGAGAGGGGGGAGAGATCAATGTGAGAGAGACAATTGATTGGTTGCCTCCCTCACACACCCCAGCTGGGGCTGGGTACAGAACCTGCAACCCAGGTATGTGCATGGGCTGACACTCTAACCACTGAGCAACCCTGGACAGGGCTAAACCTTGATTTTTTTTTTAAACATGGATAAATGGGGGTGGACAAACCACCTTAATTCAGATACATTCCCATATTATTTTATCTGTCAACATCTTATCCCTTTCTAATGTACTATGATTTCTTTTTTAAGACTCCATGCTCTCTTTATCAGGAAACTTTGATGCCTGTTTCAGTTGGTTGAGCATGGGCCCATGCACTGAGGTCACCAGTTCAATTTCTGGTAGGGCACTTGCCTGGGGTTGCAGGCTCAATCCTCATGAGGGAGTATGCAGAAGGCAGCCACTTGATGTTTTCTTCACTCATTGGTGATTCTCTCTCCTTCTCCCATACTCTTTCAAATCAAGTTTTTAAAATATCTAATATATAACAAAGAAAAGAAAAGAAACTTTGACATTTAGCAGAAGGACTCAGTCTTTGGAATTCCTGTACCATCTTTCCTATACACAAATGTTTACTTTATTCCTATTACAACCCAGGTATTCTGCTGGGAGCAGGGTTTATCAAGATGTATAGAATGATCCCTGACTACAAGGGCATACCATTCAATGGGAGAGGAAACTGTTATGCAACATACTATACTACAGGTCTTAAAATAAGAATAGAGTACAATACCATGGAAGAGGCAAAGAGTGAGGACTTAAGGATCCCAAGATTGAGGGGATCCTTCCAGGGCAGAAAACCTTGCACCAGGGCCTTGGATGATGAGGGTGGGAAAGGCAGAAACTGTGGCATGTTCAGAAATGGGGAGCTGTCCAATCTGGCTGGAGCACAGTGTACATGGGAGAAATAGAAGTGGTAGGAAATGAGACTGGAAGTGTAGCTGGGAAGCAGGAAGTAGGTGAGCTTAAAAATCAGGCCAAAAGCTTGGGTTTCACCCAATATTTAAAGGAAAGACATTCAAGGTATTTTCAACATCAAAGTAAAATTTTGAGACTCGTGTTTTCAAAAAATAGCTTTGGTGGTATGATGAAGGGAATATTATTGAGAAAGATGGAAACTAGAGATAAAATTAGGTTAACATTCTGAATGGACCCAAAGCCTTCTTATATTAACCTTAAGACATATTTGATACATTATTTTTGTAGTGTTATCTGTGCATATGCCTTTGCTATTAATAATGCTTTTTTAAAGTTGAACCTCCTACCTTAAACACTCAAGAATTCTGGAAAGTTTGTGTATAGCAAACTACTCAGTAGTTGTAGTCTTCTTTCTCTAATTCTTTCCAGATGTTAGAGCAAATAAGGCATTAACAAACATTAAAATACATGAACAATGTGTATATTTAAAATCATAATAGTCATAGTTCATAGATACCACTTTGAGTTTATATGCTCTCTGTGTAATGCCAAGCATACACATTACCTCTCTTAATATTTTCAGTAAGTGGTAATTCTTGTTTATAGGTATTATGTTTTATGGGTATATGTTTTGTATGTTTGAGGTTGACAGTTTAACCTGCCCAGGATCATATAGTGAGGATGTCTTGATCTTTTCATGATAACCATCTTGGTCTTTTTCTGTACCCTGTGCTTGTTTCTTCACCAAAAAAAAAATTTTCTTTTGCAGTTACCTCTCCCTGAAATGCTCTTCTCCCAGACATTTGAAGAACTGACCCCTTCAGTGCATAGCTAAAATTTGACCTCCTCATAGAAGCCTTCATCAATCATTCTATCTAATGTCACTCATTTCTCTATTTTACTTTCTTCATAGTGTATCAATATCTGAAACAATTTACTTGTTTTTTTTTTCCTTCCACTAAGCTAGAGTATAAATGTCAAGAGGTCAAATGTTTTGAATATCTTATACACTTTTGATATATATATAATCACAGCATTTTAGAACAGTTTTTAGAACTTAGTACACATTCAACAAATGTTTACTCAAGGGATGGGTGAATGAGCAACCAAATGTCTCCAGAGCCCATGATTGTGCTTCTGCCCCGTGCTTGCTAGATGTGTTCTTTCTGCCACCAGGCCCACTGGAGAGGCACTGGCTGACCATAAACCCTCCAATTGTGTATGTGGGACCCATACTATTCACTTTAAAAACAAACAAACATTTTTATTGATTTCAGAGAGGAAGGGAGAAGAAAGAGAGAAACATCAATGATGAGAATCACCGATCAGCTGCCTCCTGCACAACCTGCTGGGGATTGAGCCTGCAACCAACATACATGCCCTTCACCAGAATTGAACCTGTGACCTCTCAGTCTGTGGGCAATGCTCTAATCACTGAGCCAAACCAGCTAGGGCCTGATTACCTTTTAAAACCAAATATTTACTCTCCAAGAAAAGAAACCTGCAGATATTCTCTTTCTCATTCCTAAGGGTTCTTAATTATAACTACGCTTATTTAGTTCATCTATAGTAACTAAGATGTATGATTAAAAGGGAATATTTCTGATACATTATTTAGAATTTCACCTTTTCTCATTGCATTACTGTTGGCTGCTTTTTGTAGGAGAATGTTGGAATTGACATTTAAAAAACAAAACATTGTTCTAGGCCAGTTTCTGTGGTTTTTTTTTTAAAGCAACTTATTAAAAGTACCTAGTCTATCTAACAAATTAATGAATTCATATTATCTCCATGTACAAAGGACAGTGCTGGGAGGGTAAATTCAAACTACATTTTCAAACTACATTTTCCTTTGTGGTTTCAGATTGGCCTTTTCAGAAGGGTAATTTTTCTTTGTCTTGGTAGAATCTGAGATGACTGACTTTGTCTCTAGCATGCTAACCTCTTCTTTTCTCACTAGCCCATGTATCTGGGAATAGCTTGCTGACTAACTCCTAAGTTAGAGAAAGGTGGCCTGTGAAGGAATTTTAAGTACATTTTTCGGTGTCCTGTGAAGTTACATGATCTTAGCTGAGTTAATTAACTTTGTTAAAATTGTATAAAGGGATTCATATGATTCTAAATTACAGAAGAAGCAAAACAATTTGAAAGCAACCTGCCCTTTACCTTGATCCCTACCTTCTCTGAAAACCATGGTGTAATGTCAATGAATAGAATAATGGTTGACGAGCAGAATTTTAAGGCATTCTAAATATCACTGGTTGGTTTAATAAAATTAATTAGCCTGCCACAGAGAAAATTTACTAGCGTGCTGGTTAATTTCACAATGTAAAGTCAGAGAAAGGAGGTGGGGTTGAGGGAACAAACCTTATTAGTTTTGAATAATTATTTAAAGATGTGGAGCAGCCTATTTCAAACACTTTGATTGCCAAATGCATTAAGACTTTAAATTCAGCATTTGTATCCTGGTATATATGGAAAGGAATCTCTCTAGATGAAATCATAAGCATATCAGTTAACAGCTAAGTGACTTATTTAAGATACAGAACAACAAGAGGAATCCTAATAAAACCATGGGAATGAAAATTTGCCTTAAGACCAACTCTTGGGAGGTTTCCATAATCTTAATTTGCCATTGATGCAATTATTGCTCTTTCTTGTCTTTTTAATCCAAACAAGATGTTTGCAGTGGCCATGGAAAGGTGCCTGAAATCACATGGCTGAATTCATTTAATTTGCCAACATTGTCCTTTTTCTCTCTTTCTTCCTGGTAATGGGCAAGAGTCAGTTCTGGTGCATTAGGTACTAAATCTCTTCAATTACCAGCCGGGAAGAAAGATTTAAAAATGTGCTTTAAACCTACAAACTGATTTAGTTTTAAATCACATACACTTCTCCCGTGGAGCCTAAATTAAACTGCAGAAAGGACACGGAGCTCAAGAAATTGAACCGGGCGGAGCCAGGGCTCAGGCCAGCAATAGCAGCTAACCATTTTGGTTTCTTTTCCCAGGGCCCTGATGCAAAGGGAAAGAGACAGGACATGCTGAAAGACACACCTTGTACAAGAAAGGGCGATATTGTATTGTTTGGGAGCTAGGCACAGAATAAACATTAGCATGGGGGAGTCTAATCAAAGCTGTTATTCTTTTTTCTCCCTTTTTGGGTGCTCGGCAGCCATTTTCAATGTGGATGACTCTGTGGTTGATCTGGAGACCCTGGCGGCCTTATATGAAAATGTGAGTATCAAAGCCATTCTGAGCAGGAGTTTCCATATTTCCATGTCTTTACTAATAAACAAACAAACACCAAACAAACAAACAAGTAAATAAATAATAAAATGTTAAGGTCTGAAAATAATGGTTACAAGTGACTCCATCCTGAAAAATTGCTGAGCCATGCATTCATGTTCTTTGGTGGCAAGCATTTTGGATGAGGTGAAGGCACCGAAAGAAATGTAAGCTCAAATAAGAGCAGACATGAGAAAAGCACAAGGTTTCTCACCTTCACCGTGGTATTTGAGTTAGTAGATCACTTTGCACACCAGCAAGGGAGGGTTGCTCAAGGTGGAGTCCACTTCTGTGCCGTGGAACTCAGCCCTGTGGCCTGCTATCAGAGTTAACGAAGGTAAGCTACTGACTCCATGTTGGTGTACACCAGTGTCTTCCTATGAGGAATGGAAACACTAGTACCAGCCAGGAGGATTACTTTTAGTCCACATGAGCTGACGGTGTTGAATGTGGGGAGTAGCATGGGATGGTGAGGGTGTGTTCTGGATTTAGAATCAGACAGATTTAGCTCTATCATTGACTGCTGAGCGACTTTGGGCCATTTAAATTCTTTAAGCCTGTCTGTTTATCAGTGCAACAAAAATTCTAATGTGTTCTACTTGATTTTTTGAGCATTAAAAGATAATTCAATATATGTAGCAGTAGGAATGTATTTTAAAAACCAACAGCACTATACACATATATGGTCTTTAAATTTGGGTTGTATGTGGAAATAACGAGCACAATTACAGGTTTTCTGGACAGTTCCCTACACATTTTTATATCCTTTACATGTGTCAAGAGTTATCTAGTACTACTGGGTGGGAATTTCTCACGTTTCCATCAGTAAGGCTCTCATTAAAACACAAGAAGGTGCACAAATACGAGGCCATCAGGAGCTGACATTGCATTTGTTGAGAGAGATTGCGAGTCAGACTCTGTACCAGATATTTCGTGGCTCCAGTGGAATCACCTATATAATAAGGATAAGCGGTTGTGTTAAAGGACTTCGCAGAAGGCAAAGTGCCTTTCTAATGCTTTTTGTTGTTACCCTGGGCTAGGAGCTGTATACATGGTCAGTACTTGTTAGCTCACAGTAGAGGTAAGCTGCATCCAACTGAAATAGTTGGATACATTGAGAAAGTGTGCAACTAAATGCCGAAATGAGCAGTATAACAAGGAATGCTAAAAAAAAAAAAAAAAAAAAAAAGTCAGAAGTTAGAGGGCTTTTGAGAGACAGAAAGCAAATGCTAAGGACAACTTGACCCTTATCTGCTTATGGGCAAACAGAGAGAGGATTCAAAGGCAGCAGCCCAATGTCCTGGCTTCTATAATCAGCTGATATCACTTGTTATGACCATTTGCATTAGCCAGGGACTCTCAAACATTCAAATGCACCAGAATCACTTGGGAGGCTTGCTGGATCCCACCCCTAGAGTTTCTTAAATCTATGGTAGGGCCAAAATTTTGCATTTCTAACTAGTGACAAGTGGTACTGATGCTGCTGGTTCAAAGACCACACTTTGAGACATATTGCTTTAGACCAGCAATTTTCAACCAGCGTACCATGGCACACTGGTGTACTGTAAGAATTTTTTAAACATGCAATGCCTAACTATTTAGTCAGGGGCACTGACCTCTTTTTCCTTAGATTGTCAAGGGGAAAAAAATGACAATAGCCAATACAACAATAGCCATCTGGTTTGAGTGAATCAAAATCATACCTGTTTCTTTTTGTCAGATTGGCAAAAAAATATAGTTTTTTTTTGGTGTGCAGTAGAATTTTAGTAATTAGTTTATTTGTGCTATGAGATGAATTATTGCTTGATTCTCAGTGCTTATTATTTTGTATGTGTTTTGTTCTGTTTCTTTTTTAACACAGAGAGCCCAAGAAGATGAATTGGTTAAAATAAGAAAGTATTATGAGACATCCAAAGAGGAAGAATTGAAGCTGCTGGACAAACCTGAGCAGTAAGAAGGCTTAAACACTTTTCTGTTAGGCCCCACTGCAGCCCCTCTCTCCCTCCCTCCCAGCTCTGAGCAATCACCTCTAAGCTGTGCAGTGAGCTAAGCCTCAGCTCTGCCATGCCTCTGACCTATTGCCTGTAGCAGAATGACATGCCTGCTGGGAAAAGCACCAGGGAGATTTGTGCTGCTGGATAGAATATTTCTCAACCCCTCTCCTCACCCTCATGACTGCCCTTTCTCGTTCTAGCAACTTAATAATTCCTCCTAGACTAAACATTCTGGCCAAAAGGGTAACTGAGGAAGGAAGAAGTCATTGCTCTGTTTAAGGTTTTGCTGATGTAGTTGAGAAGATATGTCAGAGCACAGCACTGAATTTGATTTTCCTAAGTGGCACATCCAGTAAACGTAGCCTGAGTGTGTCAGCTTTCCCCCAGACTTCTCCGCCTGCTCTGCCCAGTTTAGATGTGACTTTTTCATCCTCTTTTGGAGTGTGCTTTTCTCTCCATTCACTATCTAGAGTTTTTTGCTCTATAGTTTGGGGTGTCTGTCCAACCCTTTGAAAACCCAGAACTCTAATGTGTAACTGAGTGACTCTTGTCCTTGGCTGGGCACTTAGGTCTGCAAACCAGAGAGAAGCTCCTGCGGCTCTGCAGCCCCCAGGTCCCACCAAAGACTCAAAGTTCAAACTTTGTGCACATTTGGGTCCAGAGCAGACACAGGGCTCCTTAGCCTATTGCTGTTTTGAGTGCTTCGTATCCAATTCAGGCCATCTCGCTCAGCCTGGAGATGAGGCAAGGGTGGGAAACAAAGAGAGTAGTGATCAAGTTTAGGCTAACGAGTCAGCCCTGGAGGCATCTGAGGTTCGGTGGCTTGTACAGAAACCTTCCTGCCTTGCCCTTGGGTCCTTTAGAGCAGCGATCGCCAACCTTTGGGACCTCACGGACCACCGGTTGGCAACTGCTGCTCTAGAATGCACCTCTTCCCTTGGATGCCTGGGCTGAGTAGGGGATTTCTAGGGTTATTCAGTCATTAACAAACCTCCATGATACTTTTGGGAACCTTAGGTGAATTGTTCTTACATAGGTCAGAACGTCCGGCCCCAGTTAGTCCATGAAGCCTAGTAGTGAATCAATGCAAACAGAGTTCCACTGGCCTTCTGCTCCACCAGCCTGAGCCATCCTCTTTATCAGCCCCCACTGCTGGGGAATTCTGTGGTCCACTCTCAATTCGTATTTCCTAATAAATAAACTAATCCCCACTAACGAGCTAATCACTGAAAAGTGAGTAATAATGGAATATTTGGACACTGACAAGACTGTCTCAGCTTGGGGTGCTATTACAAAATACCCTAAACTGGTTGACTGATAAACAGCAGGAATTTATTTCTCACAGTTCTAGAGGCTGGAAGTCTAAGATCAGGACGTCCGGATAGGACTGCTGACTTCTCTTTGTATAGTCACATGGTCAAAAGCAAAGAGAGGAAGCAAGCTCTTGTGTTTCTGGGTGTTAATTGCACTCTTGCAGGTTCTACCCTTGTGACCCCTCATCACTGGGGCACAATATTTACTCCCTAACAAGGATAAGCTTTTTTGATTAGGGCCAACTATACCACCTTGAGCAATGATACTCTAAGCCTTGAGTTGTCAGATTTTTCTTGTAGGGAGCCAAATAGTAATTATTTTAGGCTTTGTGGGCCATACGATCCATTGGAACTATTCAAGCCTGCTGCTGTAGTGCAAAAGCAACCACAGGCAATGCATAAACAAATGGGTGTGACTATGTCCCAATAAAATTGTATTTACGGACACTGAGATTTGAACTTTACATATTTTTCTACTGATGTTTTTCAAACATTCAAAATTGTTAAAGCCATTCTTAGTTGATAGGCCATACAAAACAAGTGGTGGGCTGAATTTGGCTGAGGGCTGTAATTTTTAACACCTGCTCTAAGTTATGGGCATGGCCAACCCAGTGAAATGAATATTTGGTTTTTGTTACTGGGAGTATTCCCCTTTTTCTTTTGTGTTAATGCCTTTCTAGCATTAATTTTTTTTTAAGGTTAATTGCACACAATAATGGTGGCAGGTAATTAACATATAACTTTTTTTTTTAGATTTTTAAAATGATTTTTAGAGAAAGAAGAAGGGAGAGGAGAGAGACAAATCAATCAGTTACTTCCTGCACACATCCCAGTGGGGAATCCCAGACATGTGCCCTGACCTGGAATTGATTCAGTGACCCCTCAATTCCTAGAACGAGGCCTAACCAACTGAGCAACACCAGCCAGGGCTACATATACCTTACTATTCCTGCTTTCTCTCCTAATGATTTGGATAGAAGCCCATTTTTTAAAGTTTGTAATTGGTCACTATACCAGCTTCCTGGACATGCTAAGGTGTGACTGACAGCAAAGAGGCCTGTGTGTTGTCCTGGTAAGGTGATGTGCCTGGGCTCAGTTGCTGGAGGGAGAGGCGCAGAGATGGGGAGTTCAGGCCCGAGTGAATGCCACCTTTGCTTTCTGTCTCCTGCACAGTACAGCGTTTGTTTGATCTATGCCAGAGTTTGATTTTCTGGCAACTCCTTTGCCATTAACTCCAAGTTAGTTGACTATACGCATATTGTGCATACTGGAAAATATGAAGTCTCGGCTTTACAATTTCCTAAGAACCGTGTGATGCCCGGTCCTATAAATCATAGCACGGAGAGGCTGGCCTCATTACTCACCTCATCAGCTTTCTTGCACTCCAGTGCCAGGTTTAGAAAGCCATTTCCCATAAAGATGTCATCCACCTGGGATTCTTTGACTCTTTACAGTCTACCTTGGGCTGGGGAGGGGAGGTGAGGTGATGTGAAGTGAGATTTGGGTTGATTAGGCCTGATGCAAGCTTTCTGTGGCCGAGTGAGGACACTATTTACAGCCTATCGGGATGCTCCAAAAGGGCCCACAGGTGCCTTCTGAAACAAGGCTCTGAGAGTGGAGTCTTCTATGGAAGAACACAGGTTACAACACGAAATGATGATGTGTACATGGCCCTGTATGCTCACACACACCTAAGATAATACCATTCGGGGGATTAGGGCAGGATAAACCAAATGTTAGGTCCTTAAAACCAATGGGCCACATTACCTCATTCCACCTCTCAGTTGAATTGCTACTGTGGATGAGTAACCCACATGATGTGAGGTGTAGAACTTCCCTCCTATATACAGGCTGAAAGTTTAGCTCTTCCTGTGAAAATAAGCATAACCTGGGGAAAGAAAGGCTTATTTGGGGAGGGGGGTATGTAGTTCTATCTATTACTGACACTAGGGTATAAACTTAGACAAGTCCAAAGGAAATCAATCTATAAATAATCTTAAGTACCAAGACCCAAAGTCCAAACTCAGAGTTCTTATGGGTAGTGAATAAAACACAATTGGGGTATAAGATATTTATCAGATACTTGCTTCATAGCCATTGAGGTTACTAATGCTTCTGATATTTTCCCAGATAAGTGGAAAAGGAGTATGGTGTGATTTCTGAAGGCTTTCATGGCTATTTTTAGACAGAATGTGACATAAAATCATACCCCCTCCCTAAATTTGATTTCCCATTATATCACATCTTCACATTCCACCAGTTATCCAAGTCAAAAACTTACAAGTCATTGTGGACACTACTCAGAATCCTTTGCGATTGGTCAGTTACTCTGGTTCTTGCTGCCTTAGTAGCTTTCTCATGCACTTGCCCTCTCCGTTCACACTGCAGGCCCTACTGCCTTCCCTCTTAGAATATTGCAACTGAGGTTGTGTAGGTCTTCCAGTCTCAGATCTGCTGTCACCACCAATCAGCCAGCCAATCCAGGGCCATTGTGATTTTCTAAAACAATAAGCTGAAATGGTCACTCCTCTATTTAAAACCCTACATTCATTTAGAAAGAGTTTAAACTCTTTAGAACACCATGTCCCATTTTAGCATCTGACTCCTCCTCACCTCCCCCACAATTATTATGCAAGCTGTCTAGGCTCTGCACAGCACCAGAGAGAGCTCTAGGGAACCTTGGCTGACCCGGTCCCTCAGTGCTCTGACTTTGTGCCCTGCGTGTGGCTTCCGTAGTTCCTGTTATAGCCCCATCACTGAGAACACTTGTCACACTCCATAGAAATGTTGGTTTATTTCTCAGGCTATCAATAAGGTACTGTTTATGAAGTAAAATTCTGTCCTCAGCTCCTAGTATGGTGCCTGACACACTGTAAATGCTTCACCCGCATCTGAGGACAGACCAAAATCAGTCTTGGTGACTGATGCTCTGGTATTTTCTGTGATGCACTTCCTACAGTTCTATCCAAAAATGTAAAATTCCTGAACTTCCCTTCCCCCTCCAACTCTGGATATATGTCAGACCCTTCTCCATGCATAGCACATTGGCTCTGAGTGTCTGTCAGCCTTTCTGGTGCTAGCCCGGATTCCAGGGAGCCTTAATCCAGACTGCCTTGCAGCTCTATTTTGCTCTCTTCTGTGCAACATAAGTCAGTGAGCCTCTGGGCTTATCTCCTCATATTGGTCCCAATCCTCCTGTTTTGAAACTAGATCATACATCACGCTCTCCTTTTCATCTGTGTGTCCTTCTTGCTGAGGTCAGGTGTTGAGTCATATATTCTCCCACACAGTCTCTGTAAATGCTTCACTCCTGTGTTCATTTACTCTAGGAAGTGTGCACACACTGGGGATCAGGTCCTGCTTGTGCATCAAGTCTCAAGGTCACATTTGGAAGATGAAGGAATGCAGGGCACTCTCTTGAGGTAGCTCTCAGCAGCATCTGAGTAAATTCCCTGAGTCACCATAGTACCAAATGCCCCTGACCCACAAGCTTTTTACTACTCATATTGGTGAAAACTATTGATACCCCTAATTCCAGTTATAAATAAATCAGTGGTTTAATACTAATTTTATTTTTAAAAATTTATATAAACATGTAATTTCTTCATCTTGTCCTAATAAGAAATCATATGGATTTTATATCCATTACATGATTTTCATAATAATACATTACAGAAATTTAAAGCACAGGTTTAATTCACGTGGTTTCTTTATGCGTATTCTTTACCTCATCCCAGCGTAATTTAAAAACAAAAAAGAAGAGGAGCCCTGGCTGGTGTGGCTCAGTTGGGTGTTGTTCTGTGCACCAAGGGGTCCCTGGTTCAATTCCCGTTCGGGGCGCATGCCCAGATTGTGGCTTAGACCCCTGGTGGGAGGCGTGTAGGGGGCAGTCAACAGATGTCTCGCTCTGGCCTTGAGGTTTTTCTCTCTCTGCCCCTTTCCTTCCTCTCTCTCTAAAAGTCAATAAAAATCTTTAAAAACAACAAGAAGAGTTGTCTTAGAAGATTGAACATAGAAAGTCCACTCAAGAAAAAAAATTTTTTAAAAAGATATTACCTGGTTGTGGTATAAATAAGGAAAACAGCTGATAATTAGAATCTTATTAACACCCAGCACTCCCTAAAATAAAGTAAAAGAGGCACTGAGTGTTAGCTAAGGGAATTGCTTTGGGAATGGAAAGAAGGAGGCCCCAGCTTCGCAAGCATTCGTGGGCAGAGATTGCAAAATGTCAAAGTAATGATGTTATGAGTTGACTGAGGCTTTCAGAAATATCAGGTAATAATCATTTCGACCCCAAAATGAATTTAATTGCTGTTAGTGGATTCTCTCCTTTTCTGAATTCACATCCAACTCTTTCCACCCATTTAGTTTTATGCCCCTTCATCTGGTGGTTGGCCGGGAGAGTACATGGTTCTTCCAACTTAATTTTGCAAAGGGCACCGGGCAACTTCTCAGACAGTGAGCTTTTGTGTGTAGGTTAGTACTCGCCTTTAGCTTTAAGATCTGCCTTGCCGCAGTTTTTAAGCAGCTTTAGGTTGTGTCCCCTTAATGAGTGCTGCTTTGTTCTAAGCACTGATCTCTGAGCTCTGTTTATATAAGTAAGTTGGTGTGGAAGAGTAACCAAATATCTGTAGAATAAGGATCTGTAGAATAGGGACATTATCTAATTTATTAAGCAAAAATCTCACTTCAGTAAGAGATTCTGTAACAACTTGTCTCCAGTCCTCACTTTACTCAGTCTGTATAAATATATACTTAGAGAATGCTGCATTATACAGCAAGTGTATTGTATATTTTTTTTTCATGCACTAAAGACTTAACACTTCTCATTAGGCAATTTATATACCAGACATTTATTTTTTAATTATGTATCTTATTGATTTCAGAGAGGAAGAGAGTGAGAGAAACATCAATGATGAGAAAGAATCATTGATTGACTACATCCTTCACACCCCACACTGGGGATCAAGCCCACAACCCAGGCATGTGCCCTGACTGGGAATCGAACCATGACCTCCTGGTTCATAGGTGGACATTCAACCACTGAGCTATGCTGGCTGGCCACTATGCATTTATTTACTATCATAAAAACCCATTTAAAAAAAAAGTGGCTTTGTTATCAACAGTAGAACACATCATCTTACAGTCGCTTAAGTTAGCCTAGTACCTTTTAAATTTGTTATATTAATTGTCAAATAAGGAATGCTCTCATGATGGATCTTTTCCAGCTGTCTTTTTACTTTCCTTATGATTTTTATACGAAGTTAGATGATTCCTTCTTAATTTTTACAGATTTTTACATGAGTTAGCCCAGATCCCTAATTTTGCTGAGCGTGCTCAGTGCATCATCTTCAGATCTGTCTTTTCCGAAGGCATCACCTCCTTGCATCGAAAGGTAGAGATCATCACACGAGCTTCTAAGGTATGTTGCTGTCTAATTTAAAAAGACAAATTTGTCCTTATTAGTGGTAAAGGAGGAAGCTGGGAGTGGGAGGGATCAGCTAGAGTCCCTTTGCAAAAACTTTTTGGGTTTAAGATTGTGTGTTTTTCTAAGTATAGCTGTGACTATTATCCTGCCTAAGTGTATGTGTGTGCATGCAGATGAAGTGCGAGGGAGAGGGGGAGAGAAAAGGAGAGAAGTGTGTGTGTGTGTGTGTGTGTGTGTGTGTGTGTGTGTGTATGGGGGGTGGGGAGATTGCATTCTTACAGATTTCTTCTCAAATATTCCAAACACCTTCCAATATACATACTGGCCATTTAATACCAACACAAATAGTATAGTTGATTTTTCACTTGACTGTCTGGATTAAAAAAGCGGTTTTGCCTCAGGCCCATGAATTTGATCATCTGAAATGTGCTACCTAGTGAAATAAAAAGATTCTAGAGATTTGTTAAAGGAAACAAATGATTATGATAATGAATGATAAGCAAATAAATTTTTGTTGGCTTTACAACATTAGTATTCATTATAAAGTTAAATTCTAGCACTTGGCTTTTTCTCCCAAAGACCCATGTCCTTAAGAACACTCTCCACACGTACTGTAGCCTTTAGTTTAATACTTAGTTACTTATCTGAAGGCATTATTTTTTTCTAAAATATAAGAGATTTCAATAAGGAAAGCATATATACACCAAAGTATGATATATATCCTTTAATAGTGCCCAGAGAGTCAAGATCAGAAGTCAGCCTAGAGCTGCATTTGGCTTTCTTTTCCCTAAAATAAAAGAAAAATAAAGCCAACTAAGACTATAGAGAAAGGGGGAAAGTATCTATTTGGAAGTGTGCAGTTAAAGGAGAGAGAGAGAGAGAGAGAGAGAGAGAGAGAGAGAGAGAGAGAGAGAGAGAGAGAGAGAGAGAACACAAATGAAATAGGGAGCGAAGTCTAAGCAGCTTGAAATGATAACACTGAATAGACATATCAGCAAACACTACAGGTAGCTTCTGGCCTTGAACTACATGATTGTAGTTCACCTCTGAGGTTAGAACCACAAATAAGAAGAATTGACTTGTTATTATAACTACCCTACACTTAACTGTACTGTTTACATAGATAATAGTCCAAAAACAGATCCTCAAATGATATTAAACCACTTTCTACTTGCAAGTCATCAAATGTGAAGCCTAGCTATAACAGCTCTTTCCTCAATTTATAAATACTTTCAAGTATTTTCAAAATAAAACTGGCTCAAATGGAAATGTAAATACTAATATTTAACCCACACAGATTGTCATTCATTGAAAGGATAGGAAATGATGACTCAAGTATTTTTTAAAAGACACTTTTGATTTAAAGTGTATTTTCCATCTTGCTAACTATTAATTCTGTTGGTAACATGCCACCAAAGAGCCAATTGGGTTCTCAGTAAATATTTGTTGTTGAATGGACGTAGTTATATTTGGAGTTCAGCTGCATAATAATTGGTATTTATTGTTACAGGGCTTGCTGAACATGAAAAGTGTGAAGGATATTTTAGCTCTCATTCTGGCTTTTGGAAATTACATGAATGGAGGAAATAGGACTCGGGGACAAGCAGATGGATACAGCTTAGAAATTCTGCCCAAACTCAAGGATGTCAAAAGTCGGGTATTTATTTGTTTTGTAATAAATGTCTATGATCTGCCATTATTTTTCTTTAATTAAAAAAAAGAAAACATATTTCTGATTGTTCCATTTATCTCCATCTTCCTCATAACAATATACTTTTCCTTTGACTTTGGAATAAAATAGCTTTTTGTTTTTAATGTTTGATCTTATTTTGATGTCAAAATTCCCACTACATATTTGTTTGCTCTAAAATGCATTTAGATGTTGAATTGCAGTGAGAGAGTAAAACAGATAGCATATGGTATTAGCCATAGCACAGGCTTGAATTTATTGTTGACCACTTGTAATTTATTCATTCCTGTGGATGGACCAATGTTGAATCACCAGTTGAGCTGAGTGTTTGACTTATTCTTTTACCCGCAACAATAAGGCTGGAGGTTAACTGTCAAACTCTCTGAGCTTGATTATCATTTGGCTCCACACCCCTGCAGAGCCCTCTTTAGAAACAACCAGCCTTACCTAGGCATCCTATGTGGGGGCAGTGGGAGTGGAGGGAGGGGAAACATAGAGGCAAATTAGAATTAGATCCATGTGAACAAGACTCAAAGGCTGCCTTGTAGGAGGGCCTGGCCTCCCAGGGTCATAAAGTGGCATGGCATTCCTTTTAAGCTGTCCTGATTGTTTTTCACACCATTAAGAACACACATCTTTTGAAAGGTGGGAAGGGAGGGATGGTTTTCTGTTCTAGTCCCTGATTCCCTTTAGCACTCCCTGCCCCCTCCTATCTTGGTTTATGCCAGAAAATATAAAGACACCATTTTATTTATTTATTTATTTTGTTCGTTTGTTTTAGCCATGACCTCAGAGGTCTTATAGATTATTTGTAGGGTTTTTTTGTTTTTTGTTTTGTTTTTTTTACTCCACAAAGAGCAGTATAGTGTCATTTCTTTGCATGGATACCATAAAAAATGGATGCGACAAGGAGGAGAGAGAGAGAAATATTGCCGGTCTCAGAATTAGGGCCAGGTATCACAAACTAAAAGTGTTAAATGTCAAAAACTAAGACTTTTGGCTCTCCGCTGTATAATAGAGCAGACTCTCGTATGAATGATTTTCATTTAAGCTTCTCTTTTAAACCTAGGATAATGGGATTAATCTGGTGGACTATGTCGTGAAATACTACCTGCGTTACTACGATCAGGTAAGAGATGGCATTATGTGGAAAACTACACAAATGGGGCTTCAACTCTTACACATTATTGGCATTTAGCAATCGGATGATGGATGGATGGATGGATGGATTTCAAGTCCAACATAGAATCTGAGAGCTAGCCAGCCTCCTTGGTTTATGGATGGAAACACTGAAGCCAAGAGCGTTTCACAGACTCTTGTGAAGAGAAGCTCTATTTGGTGGTACAGGTCTACTGACTCTCGCTCCGCTGTGTAACACAGCTTCGGAAAGACCCCCAGTACCCCAGTGCCTTCTCACCAGGCTGCCAGGGCCTTTGTGAAGTCTATAGCCATTCAGTAAGTGGTTATATTTGAAACTAGATTCTGGGATGCAGACCAAAATTTAGGAAATTAATATTCAGTAATGCCCAATACATTCTCAGTAAATGTTCATCTGGGAACAAGTTGCAGATGTGGAATTTGAAATCCCTTCTCTTTGCTTAAATTACATTTGCAATTAGAAATAACGTTTTCTGTGAGAATCTACCTGAGCATAATTTTCTGTATTTTATTCCTTCTCATTAAATTGAGAACAAGGAGTCCTAGCTTTGAGAAGAAAGAGGTACTGTTGTAAGATATTGAGAAACCTAGCAATCAAGATGAATGGAAAAAGTCTCCGGAAAATGTTGTCAGGACTCCTGCTTAACTATCCATGGAAGCAGAGTTTTTCCTAGGTACTGAAGGAAGGAAAGTTAAAGATGCCAGAGCCTTAGTTTTAAGAGGCCTACAATTTCATCCAGACGACCAGCTAAGCACTGATGAGGTTCCTAGTTCCCTTTCTTGCCTTCCTGGTGGGTTTATCTAACTGTTCTTAATATGTCTACAACCAGGATTCTCATCCCACCCCACCCCTCAACTTCTCCCCTCTTTCTATTAAAGATATTATAATTTTGGTCATTTACACAAGAAATTGTGCTTCTCTTTGGTTGATCTCTGTCCTTCAATTCAAATTGTCTGTCGTGTTCTTCCCTGGTTTCTATCGTAAGTAACCCCAGCCCATTCAGACTTTAAGATAACTCACCCAGGGGAATTTTGATTTCCCGGCTGGCTTTCTTACCATTCTAGTCTATCCCATGGCCTTCAGCCTGATTACATTTTATAGTTCTGATCATTTTACATCACTTTTTTACTCTAAAACAAAATGGCTCCCCTTTTTCAAGTGAATTAAGAATCTATCCAATTTAATGCCAGTGTTTTACAACCAGATTTATTACTTTTCCTCTGTGCACATTCTATGCTTCAACTCAAGACTTGATGTTTTCCAAACACACCCTGTGCTTTCTTCCTGATGTGTTTTTACATCTGATTTTCTCCCTAATTGGAATTATTCTTGTCACTAGCCTTTTTATAAGACTTCTCTTTTTTCTTATGAATATCTCTTAAAATACCTTTTGGGGAGGAAAAGCTTCTATTAATATAAATATATATATTGAGCTCTTCAAAGTCAATTAGCAAAAATCATCTTATTCCTTCTCATTTAAAAAAAAAAAAAAAAGAAAGAAAAAAGGTGGCAAAACAAACTGCAGGTAACCACATAAAACAAATAGAAGATATAAATTGCCAACTGTATGTATAGAATTAGCAATCTATACTGATCCAACCTTTCTCGGGTCTGTCTTGAATGGTTGACTGAGTTCATATCTGTTTAAGATCTGTAGGTCAAATGAGACCCTTATCTGGTTTGCTCTGGATTCACTGAGCTATATGTCCATATGGGAATCTTGAAAAAATTTCACATCATGTGCTTGTCAAGCTCTTTTCCCAGAGAGCTGTGCCTGCTTACAGGGGACCCCTTTTCCTAATTCAGATGCACTGTATGGGCTAGTGAGACTTTGACCATTTTGTATTTGAAACCCTATGAATATGTGTAATATTATACATATTTCTAAGGGTTTTTATCCTTAGGAAAAAAGTAAGGGCATGTATCACTATTTTATTTTAAATAACTTGTAGTAGCAAAATATCACAGAATCTTTTAGTAGGTGTCCAAAGATAGACACTAAGGTCAAATAAATTATGCTAGAATCATAAAATGGAATACACTACCATGGAAAGTGTCTAAGAGAATGTTTACTAGCATTGGAAAATGCTCTTGATATGCTTTTAAATTACAAATGTGTTTAGAATAATATATACTATAATCTCCAATGTGTAAATATAAATACACACAAACACCCAGAAATACCTGGAAAGATGTATATTAAAATGTTTGTTATTTATGGTTAGCATTGTAAACAAAGGAAAGTAAAGAATTGTAAGAGATTTTTACTTTCTTCTTCCTTTTAATTACTAAACCTAATGAACATGTGTGACATTTGTAAAAGGAGAAAAAGATATAATAAAAAATATTGCAATGACCCTTCTTCCAAGAGGGTTTTGCTCAGTTCCTTGCCTTTTAATCGTTTTAAGCCCAGGAACACTTTGTTTGCATGACTCACTTAAAATACGTTTTCTGCCCCATCTACAGATATCAATGAGCAATATCATTGCCCTGGTATTGCTTCCTGAGATCCAGAACTCATTATTTCTTTCTAGTGTCTGTAATGTAGGTGCCTGATAAATACTTGCTGAGTTGTATGTTCTGCAAATATTGACAAGAATGTAATAAAGGCATCTGTAAAGAATTAGGTATGAGGAGGTGAAAGGTTATTTCTGGTAGAGTAGGGAAGTATATTGCTTCAAGCAATAAGTATGTACCCCAAGTTCTGGCAACAGGTACCAGTGTGGCAGAAGCATTCTGAGAGGTGACCTTTCTAATCCCAGGTTGACGTGAGCAGATATACCTTCTGGTGTCTGATACATTGTGTAGGAAGACTGAGATTTGCCTATGATATATGGCTCCCATTGAAGAAAGACAAACCCAGTGAAATCAGCTTTCCAGAGGAAAATCTTACCGTAAAAATAGTTTCAAACTTGGAATGGTCCAGCTTAGGAAAAACAAGAAGTCAACATTCGTGTGGTCCTCGCCTAGTTTTCACTGTGCAGAATGCATTTCACTCAACAAGAGCGTAGAATTTTGTGATTTATTAAGCTATCCTCTCCCTTTAGGAGCATATGTGATGATTTCTGTGGTTAGTAGTGATGAGCAATTAGCTGAAGAAAGGTGACTTCTGTTCCAGGCTTTCTTCCACTCATGCCAGGTTTTGGGTCCAAGTCTAGGTCTGTGAAGTTTAAAGAAACCCATCTAGAGCCATGTCTTTTGAACTCTAATTGAGCAAATTTCACAAGAACTACTACCAGGCTGATTGGCTCAGGAGCATTTTCTCAATTAAAAAAAAAAGAAAAAATGAAGCCGGACTGAGTTTGATAAAAAGTTTTGGAAAATAGAAAGAGATATTATTCATGACTCCTTCCAGTGTAGATCACCATGGAGTTTTGTGGCAAGCATCTTAGATGTTGTTCCATCTTGGCACTCAGACTCGATACTGCTTCCATTGGTCGTTAAGTAGTCAAATAAGTATACGACGATGAAAAAGTTCATTGATCATGTAAAATATTGTCCTATGCACATGAGGAGAACCACCTTCTTTTAGCATCCCAAGTAAAGCTAAAGGTCTTAAAGAAAGGGGAAGAGTCAAGGGAATTCCTGAAACCACAAGAAAATATGAAGAAGGTAAATTAGATGTCTCCTGCTGAAGGTACATATTTCCCAGAACAGTGTTTTGTAGCTCCTCTGTGATGTTTCCAAACAGAATTTATTGAGAGGCCAGAGGTTACATTCTATATGGAGACCAAGGCACAGTGCCTGCCTTCTTGTCTAGTAGGGAAGACGTACAAACTAACAGGAAATTTATAAATTAATGTTGGTAAGTGCTGTGGGAATGGTAAATACAAGGGGCTCTTGGAAACACCAAGAGTTGGTTGCTGGGACTTAGGGGGAATCTTTGAGGAAGTGATGTCTGTTTTGAGATTTGAAGGATGAGTATGAATAAGGAGGTATGAGGACGTTCTGGGGAAGGGTCGGTTTCATACAAAAGTTTTACAAAAGCCTAGAGGCAAAAGACCATGACCTGTCCTATTTTTTTTTATGAAAGTTGGAGAAGGGAGTTAGAAATAGGGGGAAGGTAGAAATAATTCTGGAGATGTAGACAGAGACCAGATCATAAAGTGCCTTATAAAGCAGTTTTAGAGTTTGGAACCAGTCCTAATAGCAGTAGGAAAAATGGAATGTGAAGGAAAGCTGGCAAAGTAGCCTATGTGGAGAGACCTGAGGATTGTCTGAGATGAGCAAGATATGAAGCTACATTAAACAACCCAAGAAGAAGCCAGATAGACTGGAAAAGAAATTGGAGACTCAGCTTATCTCTCAATGTGCCTGATGAACGTTTTGTCCCTCAAGATGTTTCTTGGCTCAGGTCTTTGAGGGATAGTTGTGGGACTTGTCAAAAACTATACCCAGTCATGTCCACATTAAATATGTGGTAAGAGTACCCAAACAACATTTGGAAAATTTTTACAAATATGTGAAGAATTCAACCCCCCTCCACACACACACACACACACACACACACACACACACACACACACACACGTGTACATGCATGCTTTAAGGTGCAGAGGAAGGTAGGTAAAAGTGTAAGGCAGCGTGATTGTTTCTTCCATTACAGTGCTATCTTACTCAGTACCTTCCGATTCGCACCCATTGGCAGACCTCAACGATGAGTTTCTAATTGCTACCATATGCAACCCATACAGGGACTTTTAATTTAAATACTTTCATGTGTTCCTCCTATGCCCTTTTCCATGGACATAGAGTGCCCAAGATCAGGACATACCTGACAATTTTCTCTTTTATTCATGAGGCAAAATGGAACCTCACCCATGCCATAGCCAATCTAAGTGCCAGTATGAACAAAAGGATTTTGTGAAAGACACCAAAGCACTTCAAAGTAACCAGTCCAAACTGAGGAACCCCAGAAGAATGTTGCTGCGATGTTTATTCAAACATTCAATAAGAAATGCTTTGGAATTCCAACTGAAAGTGACTATTGGGAAGTATAATGTGCTTTTCTCCACCATGTCTTTCAGGAAGCAGGAACAGAAAAGAGTGTTTTCCCCCTGCCTGAACCACAAGATTTCTTTCTGGCTTCCCAGGTCAAGTTTGAAGACCTCATCAAAGACTTGAGAAAACTGAAGAGGCAACTGGAAGGTAACAGGAACTGTTCTGTTATGATAATAGCTAAGAGTTTTTAAAAATGATTTAAGAGGATTATTTGTGTGTGGCTCATGGAATGGAATGGGTGCAGAGTTCAGCTAAGGTATGCTACAACCCTTACGAAGCGTTCCATCTCTAGGCATTTTTTTGGAGACACTGGACTTACATATATCTCTCTCTTTTACTAGTGTTAGTACTTGTTTTATCCACATTTCCCAAAATATAATAGATATAATTTTAATAATAACAATATTAACAACCCAAACCCTTTACTGGATGCTTACTGGGGTCTCATATAATTCTTATAACAAACCTAATAAGCAGGAACTATACTAACTTTCTTTTTACAGACAAGAAAAATGAGGTTTGAGAAGTTATGTTCACACAGGCAGTGCAAAACAGACTTAACTGAATTCTATCTGATTAAAACGTATGCATTTTCTAAACAAGTTTACTATGCTGCCTTCTCTCTCTCCAGCTCCCTCTTCCCTCTTTGCTTCCATGCCCTCTCCCTCTTCTTGTCATACACATGCTTGTGCGTGTGTGTGCGCGTGCGCGCGCGCGCGCGCGCGCGCGCACACACGCACACACACACACACACACACACGTGTTCCTATATATTTAGTTTATATATATGAGTCTAATAAGAATGGCAAGACATTCTATTTTCATTTATTTTACATTTTTTAATTATTCAAAACAAGATTCTAAAAGCCCTTTGGGCTTTTTTAAAAGGTGAAAATATGCTTCTCTTGGGCAGGAATTTTCCTTTGGCATTACGAGAGTCTTATGTTTTCACTGTGGAGACATCTCCTTGTCCAAGAATATAAATACTTGCGCTGGAGCTTTTGTAGCTCCAACTGAAGAGCTCTGTGGAGGATTTAGGGAGCGTGTTAATGTGGAAATGGAGCCCAGAGTGCCAAAAGGCGAGCTTGAGGAAATGAAGAACTTGAACCAGGAATATTTTTACACTAAGACATAAAATAAACATTCAAAAAATGTTTATTGTGAAAGAGTGCTCAGAAACCCAAGTCTTAGACAGAGAACAGCTTGGACTGGAAGTGAAGGGGCAAGGTCTGCTTGAAGTGGCAGGGAAAACCATTTGTTTTTACTTTGGGCATAAACTTGCTTAAATAAGGACAGTGGTTACAAGTGAATATTTTTACCTTGTAAATTATTTTTAAAGGAACATGTGCACTTTTTCCGCCTCTTGTTGATGTGGTTGAGAGCGTGAATTCAACCAAATGAATGCTTTGTTGAGGAATGCAATATGTGGACTTGTGGTTATTCTATTCCCTTTCCTAAAAAAATAAAATAAAATAAAAAATGACAGTTTTGTTCTTGTCTAACATAAGGAGCTTGATTCTTACTTGAGCAAAGCAGAGTAAGCCATCATGAAGCAGTTTCCTCTGTCCCTCTCCAGGGGTGGAATTAGGATCCAGGCCAGGCCCCAGGATGGCTGCAGGTGAGCAGTGGCAGCAAAGACCCATGTTTGTTCACTCCTCAGCTACCCCTGAAGGCCCATCCCCCAGCTCTTGGCCCCTTTAACAGCCTGGGCCTGCTTGCTCCTCTTGTCTTTTAAACAGAAGCCTGATCTGCGTGTGATCTTTCCTCCTCCCCGGCCTTCCTTCCAGGGACTTCCTCTTTAAGGCACCTTGGTTTGGCACCTCCCTTAGACACCCTAGACACCCGTGCGTTTGATGATAAAGTAACCAAGGGATGAGAAGAGTAAATGAGGTAGACAGTGGACAGGCAGGGGTTCCCCAAAGCTCCCCACTTTGGTGTCTCTTATTCTCTCTAAGGAAATCCTAGCTGTCATTGCAGATCTCAGTACTCAACTGACACTCTTCTCAGTCCATTTTAAGGAGATATCAAACTTCTGCAGGTGGAGGGGCTGCCCTGGGAAGGAAAGCGGATCATCACAGTTATTTTTCTTCTTTGTATTGGACTTCACGAAGGAAGTACCAGAAAGGCAACTGAAGAAACTAGGACTCCCCCACACACATTGAATATTTAAACAAAAAAAATCCCTGCTAATCTTGAGGGATGCCAGTGTTTTTAACACATGAAAGGTACCTAGTAAATATTTAAAGAAAATACAGGCCGTTGGTTCTCTAATGAATTTCTTTTTCTTCTAAATACCATCTGGCAAGATGGCCAGAGTCGTGGCGGTCCGTTTCATCTCCCGTCCCCATTCAGGTTTCACCGCCTTTTCCATAAGGCCGTGGTGTGAGCCTAGATTGAATGTTTAATTGAAGAGGACATAATTTTCACACATACAGCAAAGATTTGATGAGGCTTTGAGGTTTATTGTAGCCATTAAAATGTCGTGGCTGCTGGCAAACCCTCAGAAAATGTCTAAAGCTAAACCAGATGTGATTAGCAAATTTCAAGAAGTCTCAAGCCCCGGTTCTCCCTGCAGTCCTGGCCCTTTAGGAGAAATTTGTTTTGAGTAGCCTGAACCACACCTTACCCATAAAAGGAGAATGAAACTAGGATTGTTGGCTAGACAAATGTCACTGACTTAAGTAGAGGTTTTCAATAAGCACCTTTCATAGAGACAAGAACTTTGAATAGCACTCTCTCTAATTTTACAGTTAGAACATAGGTTTAGGCCTATTTCGCTGTATAAGACTACCCCCCACTTCAAAGAAAAGACTCACTTTGCTGTCAAGATCTGCAGGTAATTTTTGTGCAATTTTGGTCTTTTGCCCCCGATTTTCGGTTGACTTTTTTTCGTTTCAAAAGTCGTCTTATGCGCCGGAAAATACGGTATGTTGGTAAACACAGCAAGGAATTGATGACAGTAATATCAACTTCAGTTTATTGCATTATACAATAATAATACATTATTGTTATCTATCAGGTGATTTGTATATATCATTTCTTGAATCCTTACAATGACCATCTGAAGCAGATATTATTACCAATCTCTCATAAGAGGAGGAAAATGAAGTTAATGGTGCTCATGTAACATGCTAAATTACTTCACAGGTGACAACCTAGCTACATTTTAAAACTAGATGTGACTTTAAGCCATGTGCTAATGACATATCCTGTCAGTGGCCCAGCAGTCTCCATACCTTATCATGGATCAAAACAGAAAGGCATATATATAATCAAGGCATTATGACTCATAAAAATACAGAAAGAGCACCACTGAACATGTGCATGAGTACAACTGTATCTATTCATACTCCTGGAACCATATAAGGAAACTCTTGGGTTGGGGATAAAAGAGGGAGGATCTGTGGGAGAGATGGGTTATAAAAGTGAATAGACACAGTATTGCATAAGATTAAGACCTCAGGCTTTGGAATCAGATGCATTTTTTACCGGTTTGGTGAAAGTAGGATCTTGTCAAGTAACAACCATAGAGTGTATTAATTTCTCACTCACAAAATGGGACAATTATAGTACATACATCATAGGAGGTCATGAATGCACACTGACTGAGTAAGGAAAGCTTTAATAAGGCCGACTGGGGGTATGTGAGTACCTCTTAATGGAAAATGCACAACTTGTAGAATCAGGCCCATAATGTTGGTCAGCCAGCTGGCTGTTTATGGAGAATTGAATTCCCAGAGCACTGTACACTCTTCTCTGCATTGTGGAAACAGAACCAAGTTCTTGGTGCTTGGGAACATGTTCCAAATTTTGTTCACTGTTCTACAGCCCTTAATGAGATGATAATTTTGATTTTCCTGATATAAGTAATATTTGAGGGAAATCCAGCAAGCAGTAGGAATAGTTGCTTTCTTTCGTACTTGTCATCCTTGCTGGCCAAAATTTTGAAAGTATGATTATCAACCTATGTGGGTGGTAGACAGAATAATGGCTCCCAAAGGTGTCCAAACCCTAATTCTGGAATCTGTGAACATGCTACCTTACATGGCAAAAAGGGACTTTGCTGACACTGAGATGGGGAGATTAACCTAGACTAGCCAAGTGCGCCTAATCTAATCACATGGATCTTTAAAAGTTGGGAACTTTCCTTGTCTGTGGTCAGCAGGAGGTAGTACAGTAGAATGATCAGAGAGATGCGATGTTGCTGGCTTTGAAGATGGAGAAAGTGGGCAATGAACCAAAGAATGCAGGAAGCCTCCAAAATTGGAAAAGGCAAGAAATAAATTCTCCCTAGAGCCTCCAGAGGGGTTGCAGCCTGTCAGCACCTTAATTTCAGCCCAGTGAGCTCCTGGTTAGACTTCTAACATATGGGAACTATAGGTAATATATTCATGTTGTTTTAAGATACTTAAGTTTGTGGCAATTTGTTATAGTAGCAATAGAAAACAAACACACCAAAGGTGTGTTTCTGATTGTGTCAGTTGATACCAGTCACACACACACACACACACACACACAGAGATATTGAGGCCATAGATGTGGGATTTCCCAGGTACTAGTGCTCACCAGTACTGCAGAAAATGTGAATAGTGCTTTCTAAAGAAAGAGTGGCTAGTCCGATAAACCTGGAAATATGCTCTATCCTGAAATTCATGTGCACTGTGAATTCCTACATCATAGGAATTCATAGTGCACATGAGCTTATTAAAAATTTTAGGAAGTTCTGCAATTTAAAAAAGGACACACACACACACACACACACACACACACAAACCACAATTTATCCCTTTTTAAAGCAACATTTCTCAACTTAAAACATGAAACATTGTGTGTATATGTATGTTTTGTGTGTTTTATTTCTTCCACTAAATACTTAGTAATATGTTGCAGAACACGCATTCTGTGAAATATAGCTTAAGAAATGATGTTGACATCACTATCAAGTTTTTAATATAAAGACACAACTATTTATTAAAGCGTCATTCCTGGGTGACCTTAACAGGAGGAGCTGTGATAAACAATCATGCTCTTTGCCCATTAATGTTGCTCTTAATACTCCCTGACCACACTGTCCTTAGCTGTCATCCATGTAAACAGAGTGGGTCGCATCCTCTTGGAAGTGTTGATGCCTGAAAGCCAAAATGAAT